GCTAAATGACTAAATGTAAATGTAAATGTAAATGTGGCCACGTATGAAGTGTTTCTTGGAGGTTATAGTACATTGAAGAATGATCATATGACTTTTTACATATGCCATGTGACCTGTAAATGCGAAAAAGCCGTTTCCATTGCAGTTTTGCGAATGATTCCTTTTTCGCATTGCCTGAAAAACCACCTCATGCGAGCGTAAAAACGTTTTTGCGATATGTGGGCGTTTTTGCGAAATTGACGCGTTTCCAACGTATTTTCAATTCGCAAATCAATTTGCGCAATTTGAAGGGTAATGGAAACGCGCCTAATGATGAGGTTCTACCTGACAACAAAAAAGGTGGAGAGGGAAGTGAAGTGGAAATATCAGACAAAATGGAGGACTTACACAGTAATAACCAGGATCAAAGTCTTCCCACTTCCAGCAGAATGAATGACTTCTTTCAAGCTTCAGACACGGATGTCATTTTTGTGGAAAGTCCAGGCAATGATGCTTTATCTCCCTTGCATTCCACCGAGGATCTGAATGTTCCTTTTCAACGTTCTTCAATGGCCTTACCAGATTACTCGGATACAAGCGATGTAGTGACAGCACTGGAATAGATGAACAAAACTTAGATGACACTTTGCCTCTGAGCCCAGAACCCATTGTTCCACAAAAAAAAATTCTTGTTGTGGACATCGTGGACAGATATTTTCTAAACTCATTGCACATTTCTGTGATGAAACCCTTCCTCATACACAGAGTGAAGTAGAAGTGAAGTTGCTCCTCCCAAATGGACGGTTTGAGAAGGCCCATGATGTTGGTGGAGTGTTCAGGGAGTTCATCAGAGTTTTGGCAGGAATTCTATGATCAATGCAATTTTAAAGTTCCCTAAAGGGAACTTGCACCTGCCATCTTGCAGCAAGCAATAAAAGGATCTGTAAAAAGTGATCTGATTGAGAACTTTTTGAAGTATGTCTCAGAAAATGAGTGTGCTGTGTTAGAAAGCTGCAGAACAGACTTCTGTAGTGCAGACCAGGAGGAATTGCTTGAGATCTTAGACAACTACAGTTGTCGGAGAATTCCAACAGAAGAAAACTTCAAGCAAATTTTGCAAGAACTGGCACACAAAACTCTCATTCAAGAGCCTGCTTATGTTCTTGAACAGTGGGCAGGTATACTTGGACCTCTGAGCAAGGACCTTGAGGAAACTGAAGATGTGTACTGTTCGTTACAACCAACGGTGATGAAAATTGTGCGATCTCTCAAATTTCCTGAAACAATGAATATACACCGAAAGGACATTTCAAAGCACTTGACAACTTACTTGAGGGAGTGTGATGCAAAACGACAGTCTCTGTTTCTTAGATTCTGTACAGGATCAGATTTGTTTATAGGCAAAGCTATAACAGTTGATTTCACAGATCTTAAAGGGTTTGAGAGAAGACCGGTAGCACACACCTGTGGCTGTTTCCTGAGGCTTTCAGTGCACTATGACAACTACCCAGATTTCAGATCTGAAATGAACAAAATTCTTGAAAGCAATGTCTGGGTCATGGACATAGTTTAGTGGTACATCAATTAGATATTGGCAGATATGAGTTATGGCCAGCTCATATGCTAGCTATTTGTCTTGGGTCATTCTTCATACACTTACAATTATTTTACACGTGTATAGAAAGTAAAACATTCACTTTAATTTGTTCACTTAGTTATTGCTGGTTATGTTGAACAACCTTTTTTATGACTTTCAATAGTGAAAGCGCTCTTCATTGTTTAGGTACAAACTACTGTTTACATTAAATTGTACATGTTGCCTCTTCAGTGAGATGATGGCTTTGAATCATTATAATGTGTTCTTAACTTTGTGCTTATATACAATTGGGTGTTGCATTATTGTGAACCTTTCATACATGCCATAGGTAAAACTATTGACTTCCATAGTAGGAAAAAAAATACTATGGAAGTCAATGGTGCTCATCAACTGTTCAGATCCCAACATTTTTCAAAATATCTTCTTTTGTGTTCAACAGAAGAAAGAAACTCATACAGGTTTGGCTCATTGGTAGCATAATTGCATTTACAATACAGTAAAATTACAATTGCAATTGCATCAATAATATTACGAGGTTAAAGTTTTAATTATAGAAATTTTAATGTAGAAATATGACATGTCAGTAACTGTCCAAAATTACATTGTACGCTCTTAAATTATGCACTGTGTGTCTAGTGTATGGCATTTAGACAACTTGCTTGTCATCAGTTACATAATTAAAGGTGCAATGACTGAGTACATGAAGTGTCCAGAATTCTGTGTTGGATTTTTTAAGTGTGAACACAATATTTATATTACAAAATGGCATAGTGCATAAGCATATGAATTGAGATGCACCTACAGAATCATTTATTCATTCAATACACATTAAGCTGCCTATTGCGTCATCAGTGCTGTTCTTGGCCGTGCTTCTCAGCCGGGTGCTTTAAAGGTAGCAGGGCTTCATACAGTGGATAATGGTTAGATCTGTCAGCAATAAGCAATATGCAAAATTAAGGGTTCAGCATAAGGTTCAGCAAGACTTGAAAGTTTATTACAATAAAGGGTCTGGCCCATAATTGTAAAAAAAATTATTCCCTGAACATAAGCATGTTTAAAGACAAATGACCATAAAGTGAAATATAACTTCTGCTCACCCTTAATCTTGATAGAGATAGATATAGCACAATGGAAGTAAGGGTGGGGATTGCGGAGCCTTTGACCTCAGAAACCTGTTTTGAGACTTGATTGTTCTTATTTGTTCTTTGTTCATGAAAAGGCCAAATACAAATAATATTCAGACAAAAAATTACCTGCAGTCTGGGGCTCAGGGGATTTCATCCTCTGTAAGTTCCCCCCAAAAAAAAACAATGTAATATGATGTTAGATCAAATGCTGGATATCAAAATCACATGTTCCCCCCAGTGAAATGTTAGTTTTTTAGCATAGGTAAATCTTTATTTTAATTTCTTAAGCATACAAAATTGATCAATTAATAAAAGAATATGAAAAGTGTGCTCACCAGTCTAGCCATAAATACTCTCTTTTGCCTTGTGAATGGTTGTGACCTATAATAATATGGGAAAAACAATTACATCTTTACTTTAAACATGTAAGGGACAATTTTTAATATCACTCTTGAGTGTCAGTGTAACAAAAGACAAATGCAAAAATCTTTATGGTCAGATGAAATCTTTATGGCCAGATGGTAGTTTTTAAAAATGTGAACTATAATTATGAAGGCCTGCTTCTTAATTAGCACAGACAGCCAGTTTGTGGGAAGTGTTTTCCTTGCAGAACTCTGCAAATGTAGTCCTTCTTACCTATGATTGGACTCAAAACAGACTGGCATGTGATGCCAAGAGCTTTGAGATTCCCTCCAGTGGTCCCCCCCAAAAAAAAACAATGTAATATGATGTTAGATCAAATGCTGGATATCAAAATCACATGTTCCCCCCAGTGAAATGTTAGTTTTTTAGCATAGGTAAATCTTTATTTTAATTTCTTAAGCATACAAAATTGATCAATTAATAAAAGAATATGAAAAGTGTGCTCACCAGTCTAGCCATAAATACTCTCTTTTGCCTTGTGAATGGTTGTGACCTATAATAATATGGGAAAAACAATTACATCTTTACTTTAAACATGTAAGGGACAATTTTTAATATCACTCTTGAGTGTCAGTTTAACAAAAGACAAATGCAAAAATCTTTATGGCCAGATGGTAGTTTTTAAAAATGTGAACTATAATTATGAAGGCCTGCTTCTTAATTAGCACAGACAGCCAGTTTGTGGGAAGTGTTTTCCTTGCAGAACTCTGCAAATGTAGTCCTTCTTACCTATGATTGGACTCAAAACAGACTGGCATGTGATGCCAAGAGCTTTGAGATTCCCTCCAGTGGTCCAAGCTTGCTTGGGTAGGGAGAGTAACTTGGTGAAAGGCTGCAGTTCAACACCTACAGTTGACGAAGTTGGAGGTAAAGGTCTGTAATTTCATAAACATCATCTGACATGACAAGGTTATGCTCAGCCATGAGTTCTACACACAGTTGAAAGACATCCTCATCACAAGGGTAGTCTTTAAATAAACACTCCTCTTGGCAAATGCTCGGTTTTGATTGTTCAGTTGGATGCAAGAAATTCTGCACTCCATATAAGCTGGGAACAGCAAACATTATTGAAGGTCGACCACTGGGAGCACGTGGGTTGTGAGTTGGCCGTATCCTGTGGCAATTCCAGGCACTGACTATTTCATCAAGCTCTTCCTTCATGAAAAAAAGAAATGGAACATATATTCTACATTGTCTTGCCAAATGCATTAATAAAACTGCAAATTGTAGGCTATGTAAATAAATAATATTAAGTTATAATCAAACTTCAATACTCTCTTTAAGGATAAAATTTGTTACCTGTATAAAATGTTGGAAGCAAAACTGGTAGAGATATTTGGCAATGAAAGTATCAACAAAGTTTCCATCTTCTTTTAGCTGTTCCAAATGATCCATCCAAAGTTGTATGCACAGGCTTCTCAAAGTGGACCACCATCGTTCAGTTCTCTGGTTCCCAGTGCTTGGACCAAGAGTGACATATTCTGCACTCGCAGTGTCTCTGAAGAATGTCTGCATATCTGCTAAATACGCATTTTCAGTTCCATGGTCAATGCGAACTCTTTGTGGAAATCCGTAATTCTCAGCAACAGCTTGTAGGAAATAACCTGGAAGCAAAACTGGTAGAGATATTTGGCAATGAAAGTATCAACAAAGTTTCCATCTTCTTTTAGCTGTTCCAAATGATCCATCCAAAGTTGTATGCACAGGCTTCTCAAAGTGGACCACCATCGTTCAGTTCTCTGGTTCCCAGTGCTTGGACCAAGAGTGACATATTCTGCACTCGCAGTGTCTCTGAAGAATGTCTGCATATCTGCTAAATACGCATTTTCAGTTCCATGGTCAATGCGAACTCTTTGTGGAAATCCGTAATTCTCAGCAACAGCTTGTAGGAAATAACCTGCAATTACTCGTGGGTCATTGTTCGTTTTGTATGCTTCAAGCCAGATAATTTTTCTGGAGAAACCATCAATGCATCCGTTTATGCATATTCCGTAAGGAATAGAAAACTCGCAATTGTGACTTTATTTCTCAGAATTGCGAGTTTATATCTCGCAATTCTGACTTTATAACTCGCAATTTCGAGTTTGTATCACGCAATTGTGAGAAACAAAGTCAGAATTATGAGATAAAAAGTCGCAATAATCTTTTTTTTTTTTTTTATTCAGTGGTGGAAAAGGGCTTCCATAATAAGCTGATACTTTTTTATTGAGTGAAAAAAATTCATGCATTACATGCATATATATATATTTTTTTCTTTTTTTAAATAAAGTTATTTAAATTTAAACGTGTTAAAAAGTTCTATTTATCTTACCAATTGGTGGCACAGTGTCCTATGTGGCTTTGCAAATAATAATAATAATAATCGGCAGGGATCCCAGACCAATACAATTAGTGTGCCTCCTCTATTTTAAAACCCACGAGCCGCCACTGCATCACAGACATGTCAGGTGATATTATATATATGTATATTTTTTTTATAAAAAAATTTAAAGGGGTGATGAGAGGTCCAAAAAGGTAGTTTGTTGCCTGAGGGCACCACCATGCTATAGAGGTTTAAGAACCAAATTAAGTGACAACAGTCAATGGAAACCAAAATCATCAACACTCCAAGGGCTGGATTCAAAATCACAACAAAAATCAATGTAAAAAACTTACAGGCTGATACAACTAGCATGAAGTTCACCACAGCAACTCATAATGTAAGTCAGTAGTGTGTATGGTCTCCACGTGCCTGTATGCACTCAATGTCTGGGCATGCTCCTGATGAGATGGTGAATGGTGTCCTGTCCTTTCAAACAGTGTCATGTTCCGAACGTTGTTTAAGCGACATACACTGGTATTGCGCTATTTAAAAAATTAATATCATAACAAAAATAAACACCGGTATTCGGTGTGAACCGGTATACGGCCCAGCACTATCTGTGGGATCTCCTGCCAGACCTGGATCAGGGCATCAGTGAGCTCCTGGACAGCCTGTGGTGCTACTTGGCAGCTTCGGATGCTGCAATACATAATGTTCCAGAGGTTCTCATTTGGATTCAGGTCTGGGGAACATGAGGGCCAGTCAATGGCATCAATGTCTTCATCATCTAAAAACTACCTACACACTCTAGCCACCTAAGGCCAGCATTATTATGCACCAGGAGGAACCCAGGGCCCACTGCACCAGCATAAGTTCTGACAGCGGCTCTGAAGATTTCATCCCGGTGCCTAACAGCAGTAAGGGAACCACTGGCTTGCACATGGAGGTCTGTGCGACCCTCCAAGGATATTCTTCCTGGACCATTACTGACCCAGTGTTCTCTGCCAAATGCTAATCAAGCTGCACGGTGCTGAGCTGTGAGCACAGGTCCCACTAGGCATCAGGCCCTCATGGCACCCTCATGAAGTGGTGGCTGCATCCGAAATCGCATGCCCTCTAAGTGGGTACTTAATTTCAATAAGTACATACTAAAATATTACGTGCTCTATAGCCTGAATGAGTTAAGTATAAATGAGATCCGGACATCATCTGCAATGTTGACATTATTATGTGACCTACAACACAATAATAAGCACAACAATTTTAAGGGTATGAGCGTCAGGTGCACTAACATCACTAACTCAACAACCCTACCTAGTATGGTTTTCAGTCTGTTCACTCCAAGCAGAATGGATATTTTAATGTTTCTGTTCATGCGTTCCATCTGTATTATTACCGTTCCGAAACTGGTTTGAGTAGAAAAAATACCAGTTAATAGTGTTATTTTTTCCCTTTTCCCCCCTATAATAATAGCATTAATAATAATAATAATAATAATAATAATAATAATTACAGCATTTTCTTTACTCAAAAAAAAAAAAAAAGTCTTAGCGTCTGGTATCTTGCGTCTAATAATAACCAATAGAGCATCATCTTTAATAACAAGATTTTGCCAAAATGTATTAAAAGGAAAAACTGTCAATGCTGTAAAGAGATTAAAGTATTTTTTCAAGATATTTAAGACAGACAAGACTGTCAGGGCAGGATCCTTGAGGGCCTTTGAGTGACATCACAAGCTGATGACCCAATGCAACAGTCAAAGACTTCAACAGATTGATCGTCCAACAGAAGAACTTCCATACCTTCCTTTGTGGGCACAGGTGTGAGATATCCAATGATCACTCTAGAGAACGCTTAAAATTTGTTATTTATTATATTAACTTAATATATTTTGATTATTCACAGATCAAAACAAGTTTAATCTAACTTTCTTTTCAGCATATCAAGATGAAGCAGATTTTTGTCAAAATATGAAATGTTGGTTTGTAACTATTAACTTGAGCAAAAGTGAGCTGAATGCTTTCCAGATGCCTAAGAAATTATATGTTGATAGTAGATTGGTTGAAAGTGAATAATAATAATAATATTCACATTAAAAAATGCAAATCATAATAAAAAGCCAAACTATATGAGACAAAAAATAAGATTTAAGCCCTGGTGGAAATGAAAATATGAAAAACCCCTGAAAGGGGCCAGGACAGCATTCAGCCCACATACACTTTCCACAGGTGACACCAGGAAGGACAACGGGCCAAATGAGCAGATGATGGAATGTTGTCACTAACAAAAATAGTTTAAGTCTCATTCACAGGGGACAGCAACTCAATTCCATGAAGGTTTGCTCCAACAATAAGAACCAGTGAGAATGTGTTGAGATCTCAGAAGAGGACTGTTCATTGATCAGATGAATGGTTGATTGACACCGGAGACCAGAGCTCTCATCTTAAAATATACCAACCAGCTTCTGTAATCCCAAACAACTTGAAATGAGAAACCATCCCTGGACAACAGGGAAAGACCATGACAACAAATCACTGGTGAAGATGAAATGAATGATAAAATAGCAAACAGGATGATCAAGACAAAAGGAACAGATGTGGGCCAACAAATGGAAAAATTGAAAATAAATGAAAAAGAGGAAAAATAAATAAAATTGAAGCCGATAATAAAGAAAAGACCAAAAACACAGGATAAGAAGATGCAGAATCCAGTAAAGCTCAGAAAGAGTTGTATAAGAAATTACAGGGAGTAAAGGGAAACAAAGACATTTAAAAAAAAAAAACTAATGGAACTCCAATCCAACATGCCAACCAAATAATTCAGTTAATCTCTGCGATGATGCTACCTGATCGATTAGCAGTCAAGCTCATAAAAAGGTAATGACTATGTAAACAAAGGAAATAAATGTAGCAGATTTTGAAACTAAAAAAGCCTCAGGATGCGTAACAGCAATATTAGCTCCAATTGTTTTAATAGAACCACAGCCTCAATTTGATGATAGTTTTCGAATACAAGAACAAGCAACTTCATATGAACAGTCTTTGTGGCAACAAAGAGGAGCTATAAAAGACTCAAAATGTTTACCGTTCTCAGGAAGGACAGATTGTTGCACCAACCACTCTTCTAAACATTCTAATTCCAGATGCACATGGAATTGATCACTGTGCGAGGGGGGAGGTAATAAGGAGAATTAAACAATTAAACAACAAGGATATTGGTCCCCATATTTAAAACCAGTAGTGGATTCATTTTTGTCCTCCTGTGAAATTTGCGCCAAACATAATGTTAGAAAAGGTATAACAACACCAATAGGTCATATGCCAGTATAAACACTTGGTGATTGATTATGTGGACATGATAAAACGGGTGCAAGGTAAAAGGTATATGCTTGTGGTAATAGACAGATTTAGTAGATGAGTTGAAGCAGTACCATCGGCAGATGAAGGGGCAGCAACAGTGATTAAAATTCTGTCAGAGGAGAGAGAGCGGCATCCATGCATTTCGTAAACGTACGAGGAGCCAGGGATAAACCGAAGGGTAGGACCTTGAATTGGTACGCTATCCCCTTGAATGTAAATCTCAGGAAACGCTTGTGGCGAGGGGCTACCTGAATATGAAAATAAGCATCCTTTAAATCCACAGAGATAAACCAATCTCTCGGTCTGATGTGTGAGAGGATTTGTCTCAGCGTAATCATTTTGAACGAGTGCCTCGAAAGCGCACGATTCAGCGGTCTCAGGTCCAAGATTGGAGTCCGCTGTCTTTCTTTCGTACCAGAAAATAACGACTGTAGAAGCCGCTCTCGCGGTCTGCTAGGGGCACTGTCTCTACAGTGCATTTTGTGAGGAGGTTGTGTATTTCCCCTTGCAGAACTGAGGCATTCCGCTCCCATACAGTGGACATTAACACACCGTTGAAACGGGGCGGCCTGCGGAAGAACTGAAGCGTGTAGCCGTTCTTTATTGATTTCATAACCCACTCTGATACCCCTGGCAGTGCCTGCCACGCTTCTGTGAACTGTGACAGCAGGCGAGGCGGACTGCACACCGTGGGGGATAACTCGCCGTTGGGGGGCTGGGAGTTTAATACCGCACGAG